CCAGAATCGAAGGGCCTCGCACAATTGTGCTCGGCATGTGAAAGCATCGTAGTAGCGCTACTAACAGAGGATCCTCACACCGATGGTCCGAGCGGCCTCGATATTCTTGGTAAACGTAAACTTGCCAGGACTGAAGTGAACTCTCAGACTTCTCTGCAGTTTGACCCCATGCCGGCAGTTACGCCAGTATTCAAGTAGATAACAGGCAATGAGTAGGGGCAGAAAAAATTTTAAAAGTCGAAACGGGAAGGTTGATCGATCACTCTATTCTGACTGCAAAAAACTCAAAGCTGATGATGCTGCTTGAAAACGAGAAAGTATCACGCGGTCGAGTTCCTGGAGTTTTAACTCAATGCACAGTGTACAGCGAATAATTTGCAGCCAGCTTTAGACCTCGGGGAACGCATATTATGACTGCGAGTCAACCAAAATTCGAGCTATAAGCTAATAAATACAATTTGCAACCACCAGATGTGCCAAAGAGTCTAGGTGGTGCGGATGACTAGCGAAGTGCTCATCATTGTGCGTCCACAAAATAGTATTTATAAGCGTAAGGTCGTGCTGGTCCTCTCCTGTGCTTTGGCATTTTAAAATATCTTGCTCAAGTATCTCTGAGACCCGTTAACTAGAACGCCTCTCGAATAAAAATAGCAAAATTTTAAAACAAACCAGCACAAAAAGCTGCGCTGCAGGCGTGCCAAATCATTTAAAATCACACAGCCCAATTGAAATTGAGTTCAATTTTCGTCAGGAAATCTTGCGATGAAACGATACGCTAAATCATGCAGTGGCTTTTCATTCAGCAGTTGTCTAGTTCCTCAATTAAGCGCAATAAGTTGACTTTTCTTCGATTGTTTGACGAGCGCGGCTCATTATCAATGGCTACTAATTATGCGGCGTTACGCTCATAATCAAAATTGAGGTACCGAAGAGACAGAAATGATTAAGCTTCCTTACTCTTCCTGTTTGTTGTTCAGGAAACGATGAATAAAATTGAACCGGTGCAAACTCAGCTCATTATTGAATACTGACGAATTTTACTCGGAGGAAATAACTGGAAGCGCAAAAATCCAGTGAAGGATGTGCTAGTATAACTGCGTTTGACAAGTGGTAAAATTCATGAGTTCCCAGAGTGGTGGACT